GGTGAACCAGGTGTGTGGGGTGGGCCAGGTGTGTGGTGAACCAGATGTGTGGGGTGGGCCAGGTGTGTGGTGAACCAGGTGTGTGGGGTGGGCCAGGTGTGTGGTGAACCAGGTGTGTGGGGTGGGCCAGGTGTGTGGTGGGCCAGGTGTGTGGGGTGGGCCAGGTGTGTGTGGTGGGCCAGGTGTGTGGTGAGCCGGTGTGTGGTGGGCCAGTGTGTGTGAGGTGGGCCAGTGTGTGTGGGCCAGGTGTGTGGGTGGGCCAGGTGTGTGTGGGTGGGCCAGGTATGTGGGGTGGGCCAGGTGTGTAGGGTGAACCAGGTGTGTGGGGTGGGCCAGGTGTGTGTGGTGGGCCAGGTGTGTGGGGTGGGCCAGGTGTGTGTGGTGGGCCAGGTGTGTGTGGTGAGCCAGGTGTGTGTGGTGGGCCAGGTGTGTGGGGTGGGCCAGGTGTGTGGGGTGGGCCAGGTGTGTGAACCAGGTGGGCCAGGTGTGTGGGGTGGGCCAGGTGTGTGGGTGGGCCAGTGGTGTGTGGGGTGGGCCAGTGTGTGGTGGTGTGTGGTGGGCCAGGTGTGTGGGGTGGGCCAGGTGTGTGGGTGGGCCAGGTGTGTGGGTGGGCCAGGTGGTGGGTGGGCCAGGTGTGTGTGGTGAGCCAGGTGTGTGTGGTGGGCCAGGTGTGTGAGGGTGGGCCAGTGTGTGTGTGGGCCAGGTGTGTGGGGTGGGCAGGTGTGGGGTGGGCCAGGTGTGTGGGGTGGGCCAGGTGTGTGGGGTGGGCCAGGTGTGTGGGGTGGGCCAGGTGTGTGTGGGTGGGCCAGGTGTGTGGGGTGGGCCAGGTGTGTCGGGTGGGCCAGGTGTGTGGGTGGGCCAGGTGTGGGGGTGGGCCAGGTGTGTGGGGTGGGCCAGGTGTGTGGGGTGGGCCAGGGTGTGTGGTGGGCCAGGTGTGTGTGGTGAGCCAGTTTGTGTGTGGTGGGCCAGGTGTGTGGGGTGGGCCAGGTGTGTGTGGTGGGGAAGGTGTGTGGGGTGGGCCAGGTGTGTGTGGTGGGCCAGGTGTGTGGGGTGGGCCAGATGTGTGGGGTGGGCCAGGTGTATGGGGTGGGCCAGGTGTGTGGGGTGGGCCAGGTGTGTGGGGTGGGCCAGGTGTGTGAGGTGGGCCATGTGTGTGGGGTGGGCCAGGTGTGTGGTGGGCCAGGTGTGTGGTGGGCCAGATGTGTGGGGTGGGCCAGGTGTGTGGGGTGGGCCAGGTGTGTGGTGGGCCAGGTGTGTGGGGTGGGCCAGGTGTGTGGGGTGGGCCAGGTGTGTGGGGTGGGCCAGGTGTGTTGTGGGCCAGGTGTGTGTGGAGGGCCAGGTGTGTGTGGTGAGCCAGTTGTGTGTGGTGAGCCAGGTGTGTGTGGTGGGCCAGGTGTGTGTGGTGGGGAAGGTGTGTGGGGTGGGCCAGGTGTGTGTGGTGGGCCAGGTGTGTGGGTGGGCCAGATGTGTGGGTGGGCCAGGTGTATGGGGTGGGCCAGGTGTGTGGGGTGGGCCAGGTGTGTGGGGTGGGCCATGTGTGTGTGGTGGGCCATGTGTGTGGGGTGGGCCAGGTGTGTGGTGGGCCAGGTGTGTGGTGGGCCAGATGTGTGGGGTGGGCCAGGTGTGTGGGGTGGGCCAGGTGTGTGGTGGGCCAGGTATGTGGGGTGGGCCAGGTGTGTGGGGTGGGCCAGGTGTGTGGTGGGCCAGGTGTGTGGGGCCCACGGTGCTCCTGGACTGCGGAATGTGAGGCACGCATAATATGGGTCCACCAGCCGCCCAGTGCGGGGGGGGGGGTGGACGTGGGCCACCCCTCCTCCTGCCCCCCCACACCTGCCCCCCCACACCTGCCCCCCCCACACCTGCCCCCCACACCTGCCCCCCCCACCTCTGCTGTAGGCCCGCCCGCGTGTTTCACACCACCAACCTGCCTATCTCTGTCATCGCACTAATACCAAATCCAGTTCAATTAAAAGCAATTTACATAACAATATGTCTGGGGACGGAGGCAGGCGAAGGGCCGCAAAAAATAGGGGCATATAAGGCGGGGAGGGAACTAGCGCGGGTTGCCGGCTGGCCCCACTGCTCTCTCCCCCTGGTGTGTGTGGCCCACCTGTGTGGCCCACCTGTGTGGCCACCCTCACTACACTTAACACTCACCCCTAGAGGCTGAGCACCCGCTCAGCTCGCTAGTATGGCCACTGTGGCCACCAGGTGGGCCACAGTGTCCGGCTGGCGGCCACCTCCTTTCCTGAGGTCTTCCCCCCCCTCCTCCCCCCCCTCCCGGGCGACCGCAGTCTAATGTTATACAAATTACTGTACAAATCACAAGGGGGAGGGAGTGGGGGGCGGGGTGGACTGGCCACCCTCCTGCTCTCACATCTGTCACACCTGGCACACTCACACCTGACACAGTCACACCTGGCACTGTCACACCTGGCACTGTCACACCTGGCACACTCACACCTGGCAGAGTCACACCTGGCACTGTCACACCAGGCACACTCACACCTGGCACAGTCACACCTGGCACTGTCACACCTGGCATGGTCACTCCTGCCATGGTCACACCTGGCACTGTCACACCTGCACATTCACACTTGGCACGGTCACACCTGGCACACTCACACCTGGCACACTCACACCTGGTACAGTCACACATTGGCACACTCACTCCTGGTCACACCTGGCACTGTCACACCTGGCACTGTCACACCTGGCACACTCACACCTGGCAGAGTCACACCTGGCACTGTCACACCTGGCATGGTCACTCCTGCCATGGTCACACCTGGCACTGTCATACCTGGCACACTCACACCTGGCACAGTCACACCTGGCACTGTCACACCTGGCATGGTCACTCCTGCCATGGTCACACCTGGCACATTCACACCTGGCACATTCACACTTGGCACGGTCACACCTGGCACAGTCACACCTGGCATGGTCACACCTGGCACATTCACACTTGGCACGGTCACACCTGGCACAGTCACACCTGGCACACTCACACCTGGCACGGTCACACCTGGCACGGTCACACCTGGCACAGTCACACCTGGCACGGTCACGCCTGGCACAGTCACACCTGGCACAGTCACACCTGGCACAGTCACACCTGGCACAGTCACACCTGGCACACTCACACCTGGCACAGTCACACTTGGCACGGCCACACCTGGCACAGTCACACTTGGCACACTCACACCTGGCACAGTCACATCTGGCACAGTCACACCTGGCACGGTCACACCTGGCACAGTCACACCTGGCACAGTGACACCTGGCACAGTCATACCTTGCACACTCACACCTGGCACATTCACACCTGGCACATTCACACCTGGCACAGTCACACCTGGCACAGTCACACCTGGCACAGTCATACCTGGCACATTCACACCTGGCACTGTGACACCTGGCTCGGTCACACCTGGCACGCTCACACCTGGCACAGTCACACCTGGCACAGTCACACCTGGCACGCTCACACCTGGCACAGTCACACCTGGCACAGTCACACCTGGCACAGTCACACCTGGCACACTCATACCTGGCACAGTCACACCTGGCACACTCACACCTGGCACGCTCACACCTGGCACAGTCACACCTGGCACACTCATACCTGGCACACTCACACCTGGCACAGTGACACCTGGCTCGGTCACACCTGGCACACTCACACCTGGCACTGTCACACCTGGCACGCTCACACCTGGCACAGTCACACCTGGCACAGTCACACCTGGCACACTCACACCTGGCACACTCACACGTGGCACACTCACACCTGGCACAGTGACACCTGGCTCGGTCACACCTGGCACGCTCACACCTTGCACTGCCACACCTGGCACACTCACACCTGGCACACTCACACCTGGCACGGTCACACCTGGCACAGTCACACCTGGCACAGTCACACCTGGCACACTCACACCTGGCACGGTCACACCTGGCACGGTCACACCTGGCACAGTCACACCTGGCATGGTCACACCTGGCACAGTCACACCTGGCATGGTCACACCTGGCACACTCACACCTGGCACTGTCACACCTGGCACGGTCACACCTGGCACAGTCTCACCTGGCACAGTCTCACCTGGCACACTCACACCTGGCACTGTCACACCTGGCACGGTCTCACCTGGCACGGTCACACCTGGCACAGTCACACCTGGCACAGTCTCACCTGGCACACTCACACCTGGCACTGTCACACCTGGCACAGTCACACCTGGCACGGTCACACCTGGCACGGTCACACCTGGCACAGTCTCACCTGGCACACTCACACCTGGCACTGTCACACCTGGCACGGTCACACCTGGCACGGTCACACCTGGCACAGTCACACCTGGCACGGTCACACCTGGCACGGTCACACCTGGCACGGTCACACCTGGCATGGTCACACCTGGCACGGTCACACCTGGCACGGTCACACCTGGCACGGTCACACCTGGCACAGTCACACCTGGCACGGTCACACCTGGCACAGTCACACCTGGCATGGTCACACTTGGCACAGTCACACCTGGCACAGCCACACCTGGCACAGCCACACCTGGCACACTCACACCTGGCACAGCCACACCTGGCACACTCACACCTGGCATGGTCACACCTGGCATGGTCACACCTGGCACAGTCACACCTGGCATGGTCACACCTGGCACACTCACACCTGGCACATTCACACCTGGCACACTCACACCTGGTACAGTCACACCTGGCACAGTCACACCTGGCACACTCACACCTGGTACGGTCACACCTGGCACAGTCACACCTGGCACGGTCACACCTGGCACATTCACACCTGGCACGGTCACACCTGGCACAGTCACACCTGGCACATTCACACCTCGCATGGTCACACCTGGCACATTCACACCTCGCATGGTCACACCTGGCACGGTCACACCTGGCACGGTCACACCTGGCACGGTCACACCTGGCACAGTCACACCTGGCACATTCACACCTCGCATGGTCACACCTGGCACGGTCACACCTGGCACGGCCACACCTGGCACGGTCACACCTGGCACGGTCACACCTGGCCATACAGGTTGCGTGCTTTGGGTTTATGGAGCCTGTGGGTGGCAGTAACCTGGTGGGTGGCACACTGTGGGTGGCAGTAACCTGGTGGGTGGCACACTGTGGATGGCAGTAACCTGGTGGGTGGCACACTGTGGGTGGCAGTAACCTGGTGGGTGGCACACTGTGGGTGGCAGTAACCTGGTGGGTGGCACACTGTGGGTGGCAGTAACCTGGTGGGTGGTACACTGTGGGTGGCAGTAACCTGGTGGGTGGCACACTGTGGGTGGCAGTAACCTGGTGGGTGGCACACTGTGGGTGGCAGTAACCTGGTGGGTGGGACACTGTGGGTGGCAGTAACCTGGTGGTGGCACACTGTGGGTGGCAGTAACCTGGTGGGTGGCACACTGTGGGTGGCAGTAACCTGGTGGGTGGCACACTGTGGGTGGCAGTAACCTGGTGGGTGGCACACTGTGGGTGGCAGTAACTGGCACACTGTGGGTGGCAGTAACCTGGTGGGTGGCACACTGTGGGTGGCAGTAACCTGGTGGGTGGTACACTGTGGGTGGCAGTAACCTGGTGGGTGGCACACTGTGGGTGGCAGTAACCTGGTGGGTGGCACACTGTGGGTGGCAGTAACCTGGTGGGTGGTACACTGTGGGTGGCAGTAACCTGGTGGGTGGTACACTATGGGTACCTGGAGTGCTGGTGTACCTAGAGTGTTGGTGTACCTTGAGTGCTGGTGTACCTAGAGTGTTGGTGTACCTGGAGTGTTGGTGTACCTGGAGTGCTGGTGTACCTTGAGTGCTGGTGTACCTAGAGTGTTGGTGTACCTGGAGTGTTGGTGTACCTAGAGTGCTGGTGTACCTGAAGTGCTGGTGTACCTAGAGTGCTGGTGTACCTGTAGTGCTGGTGTACCTGGAGTGTTGGTGTACCTGGAGTGTTGGTGTACCTAGAGTGTTGGTGTACCTGGAGTGTTGGTGTACCTAGAGTGCTGGTGTACCTGAAGTGCTGGTGTACCTAGAGTGCTGGTGTACCTGGAGTGCTGGTGTACCTGGAGTGCTGGTGTACCTAGAGTGTTGGTGTACCTGGAGTGTTGGTGTACCTAGAGTGCTGGTGTACCTGGAGTGCTGGTGTACCTGGAGTGCTGGTGTACCTAGAGTGTTGTGTACCTGGAGTGTTGGTGTACCTGGAGTGCTGGTGTACCTGGAGTGTTGGTGTACCTGGAGTGCTGGTGTACTTAGAGTGTTGGTGTACCAGGAGTGCTGGTGTACCTAGAGTGTTGGTGTACCTGGAGTGCTGGTGTACCTAGAATGTTGTGTACCTGGAGTGTTGGTGTACCTGGAGTGTTGGTGTACCTAGAGTGCTGGGGTACCTAGAGTGTTGGTGTACCTGGAGTGTTGGTGTACCTAGAGTGCTGGTGTACCTAGAGTGTTGGTGTACCTGGAGTGCTGGTGTACCTGGAGTGTTGGTGTACCTAGAGTGCTGGTGTACCTATAGTGTTGGTGTACCTGGAGTGCTGGTGTACCTGGAGTGTTGTACCTAGAGTGTACCTGGAGGTTGGTGTACCTAGAGTGCTGGTGTACCTAGAGTGTTGGTGTACCTGGAGTGCTGGTGTACCTGGAGTGTTGGTGTACCTAGAGTGCTGGTGTACCTATTGTGTTGGTGTACCTGGAGTGTTGGTGTACCTGGAGGGCTGGTGTATCTGGAGTGCTGGTGTACCTGGAGTGTTGGTGTACCTGGAGGGCTGGTGTATCTGGAGTGCTGGTGTACCTGGAGTGCTGGCGTATCTGGAGGGCTGGTGTATCTGAAGTGCTGGTGTACCTGGAGTGTTGGTGTACCTAGAGTGCTGGTGTACCTAGAGTGTTGGTGTACCCAGAGTGTTGGTGTACCTGGAGTGCTGGTGTACCTATTGTGTTGGTGTACCTGGAGTGTTGGTGTACCTGGAGGGCTGGTGTATCTGGAGGGCTGGTGTACCTGGAGTGCTGGTGTATCTGGAGGGCTGGTGTATCTGGAGTGCTGGTGTACCTGGAGTGCTGGTGTATCTGGAGGGCTGGTGTATCTGGAGTGCTGGTGTACCTAGAGTGTTGGTGTACCTGGAGTGCTGGTGTACCTGGAGTGCTGGTGTACCTGGAGTGTTGGTGTACCTAGAGTGCTGGTGTACCTAGAGTGTTGGTGTACCCAGAGTGTTGGTGTACCTGGAGTGCTGGTGTACCTATTGTGTTGGTGTACCTGGAGTGTTGGTGTACCTGGAGGGCTGGTGTATCTGGAGGGCTGGTGTACCTGGAGTGCTGGTGTATCTGGAGGGCTGGTGTATCTGGAGGGCTGGTGTACCTGGAGTGCTGGTGTATCTGGAGGGCTGGTGTATCTGGAGGGCTGGTGTACCTGGAGTGCTGGTGTATCTGGAGGGCTGGTGTACCTGGTGTATCTGCACTCCAGGTACACCAACACTCCAGGTCCACCAGCACTCCAGGTACACCGGCACTCCAGGTACACCATCGTGCAGTAGTGGGGCACCTGAGTGCTCGGCTGGTGCCGTCGGGCGCTGTAGTCATACGCCAGACGCTGGGAGTCCCGAGACGCGATCACTCTTCCTACTCTGCGTCGTCATCAACTGAAGCCTATCGTTAGAAAGTGGCGATACCGTAGGGACCGGGGGGGGGTCCGTTACCCCGGGGGGAGGGGGTCCGTTACCCCTGGGGGGAGGGGGTCCGTTACCCGGGGGGGAGGGGGTTGCACCTATTCTCAGGTGCGCCTATTGTGACTCACCTCTATGGTGCCCTCCCCACACCCACCCACCCTGGGCGGATGCCGCCCTCGCGCGCGTACACACTCACACACACAAATAGGTGAGTTCACACACACACACACACACACACACACACACACACACACACACACACACACACACACACACACACACACACACACACACAGGTGTTTGTGTGATACACACACAAAATTAATGAGAAGAGTTGTGACAGTTGAGGATTGTAGGATCCTCCAAGAGGACTTGAACAGGTTGCAGAGATGGTACCTGCTTGATGGGGTTCTGGGAGTTCTACTCCCCAAGCCCAGCCCGAGGCCAGGCTTGACTTGTGAGAGTTTGGTTCACCAGGCTGTTGCTTGGAACAGCCCGTAGGACCACATACCCACCACAGTCCGGCACTCCTTGACGAAAACAATCTAGTTTTCTCTTGAAGATGTCCACGGTTGTTCCCCCAATATTTCTTATGCTCGCTGGAAGGACGTTGAACAACCGTGAACCTCTAATGTTTATACAGTGTTCTCTGATTGTGCTTATGGCACCCCTGTTCTTCACTGGTTCTTTTCTGCATTTTCTTCCATATCGTTCACTCCAGTATGTTGTTATTTTACTGTGCAGATTTAGGACCTGGCCCTCCAGTATTTTCCAGGTGTATATTATTTGATATCTCTCTCGTCTCCTTTCTAGTGAGTAGATTTGGAGAGCTTTGAGATGATCCCAATGATTTAGGTGCTTTATCATGTCTATGTTTGCCGTATATATTCTCTGTATTCCCTCTATATCAGCAATATCTCCTGCTCTGAAGGGGGAAGTGAATACCGAGCTGTACTCAAGACGGGACAGCCCAAATGATTTGAAGAGTACAACCATTGTGATGGAATGCCTGGATTTGAAAGTTCTCATAATCCATCCTATCATTTTTCTGGCTGACGCAATATTTGCTTGGTTATGCTCCCTAAACGTTAGGTCATCGGACAGCATTATTCCCAAATCCTTGACATGCTGTTTTCCTACTATGGGCAGATTCGATTGTGTTTTGTACCCTGTATTATGTTTCAGATCCTCATTTTTGCCGTTCCAGAGTACCTGGAATTTATCACTGTTAAACATCATGTTATTTTCTGCTGCCCAATCGAAAAACTTTGTTAATATCTGCTTGTAGTTTTCAATATCTTCAGCAGAGGTAATTTTCATGCTGATTTATGTGTCATCTGCAAAGGATGATACGAAGCTGTGACTTGTATTCCTGAGAACTTGTAATATGAAAATAAGGAAAAACAGTGGTGCAAGGACTGTACTTTTAAGTACAGAGCTTTTAACTGTGCTCCGACTCGATTTCATTTGATTGACTGTTACTTTTTGTCTTCTGTTCGGCAGGAAATTGAGTATCCAGCGCCCTACTTTACCAGTTATTCCCATTGACCTCATTTTGTGTGCTATCACTCCATGGTCACATTTGTCGAATGCCTTTTAATGTCTATGTATACCACATCTGCATTTTGCCTTTCTTCCAAAGCTTCTGTGATTTTGTCATAGTGGTTGAGTAACAGTGACAGACAGGATCTTCCCGCTCTAAATCCATGTTGTCCTGGGTTGTGTAGCTCATTATTTTCCATAAAACTAGCAATTTGATTCCTAATCAGTCTTTCAAAAACTTTTAATATGTGTGATGTTAGTGCAACTGATCTCTAATTTTTTGCCAAGGCTTTACTACCCCCCTTGTGCAACGGAGCTATATCTGCAGATTTAAGTGCTGCTGGTATCTCCCCTGTATCCTGGCTCTTTCTCCATATTTCACTGAGCGCTCGCGCTACTGGTACTTTACATTTCTTTATGAATATTGAATCCCATGATTCAGGCCCAGGAGCTGAGTGTATGGGCATATTGTCAATTTCTCTTTCAAATTCTTCCGAGTTCGCACGTGTTAATATCCGTTATATTATCTACAGCTTGAATGTCATTCATAAAGAAGCTGTCTGGGTCATCAACTTTCATGTTGTTTATTGGTGTACTAAACATAGCCTCATTCTGGCTTCTTAGAATTTCACTAATCTCTTTGTTGTCCTCTGTGTACGTACCTTCATTTGTAATTAACGGTCCAATACTGGTCGAGGTTTTTGACTATGATTTTGCGTATGTGACAAAATATTTTGGATTTTTCCTTTATCTCTTGTATAGCTTTCT